GTGGTTTTCTATTTCCAACATTTCTTCTATAGTTTTAATTAGAATTCGAATACAAGGAAGAACTGCCTTTTCTCCTGCCTTTACTTATTCATTTATTTTTATCAATATGGACTGAGGTRTATTTTATTCTGTTCCACAGAGTTAATCCAATATTCTTATTTATTTGTTAAATGATCCCAGATTTGTCCAGTGGAAGCGCCTTTAAGTTGCCTTCTCTCTGTCCCCTGTTATCTATTCAGCATCCCCTTGCTTTCTGGAACCATGGGATGTTCAGGGTTATCCTGTAATGTCCCTGTCCAGCCGCTGGGTCAACCATTTCTTCCAGGGAGTCTGGTTTCTGCTATTGAAGACTGGCATTTAGAAGCCAAGGGGGTTGGTTGTACCCATTGCCTCTGGATGTCGTGGTTTCTAGACCTTCTTAGAAGAGAGAGCTTGGAAATTATATACTGAAGTGGCACCCCCTTTCTCCACGGAAAAGCCCGCTTCACCATGGCTGATTTTAGGACTGTCAGCAAAAGAGTCTCTGCAAAAGAGTCCAATGTAGATAAACGTCCTATTTTCATGTCACCCTGTTTACTTGGCCACTGGCCGAGAAGATACCAGTACTCCGGGTGTTGGACACCCCCTTACTAGTTTTTCACAAACGTATCCAGTATAGTACTTTGAAGAAATGTGCAAACAAGGCCTCTGGCCTTGAGCTGGGCTTCACAGAGATGTCTACATTTTTAAGATAAGTTACAAATGGGCCCATGGTAACAGCTGGCAGGGGGGGGAAAGAAAGAAGTTCCCCCCCTTCTCAGGTGTTGTCCTTGAAGAGTTAACATATCCAGAACAGTGAAAGAAAAAGCTGCTTTTATGTGAACTTCTGCAGACTGTGAACTTCTGAGCCCCTCCCCTTACATGCTGGGTATAAAACTCTGAAACTCCCTGAACTCGGGGTTCAGGGGATTGATTGATTATAGCAAAGGCTGTACACTCTGAACCTGGCTGCAGCCAAATAAAACGGTTTCCTGCTGTCTTCGGTGCATTGCCTCGTCTGTCCCTACAACAATACCTATGTGTATAATTTTATATCCACGACACCTGCATCCATGCCTACCTACTTATCCATCCTAGCAATATGTCCACACACCTGTTTTTTTCTAGAATTATCCATCTGCACATACATTAAAAACTATGTGTTGGTGCTAAAACCTCCAACTCCAATTCAACACCAAAGATTTCATTCTAGTTTTCTGTCCTTTGAAATGTGTAATCACTTTCTTCGACAGTAAGAAACTGGGCTCTATCATCCACAATAATTATTTGCTTGATCCTAGTATATACCTAAGGTAGTTCCAAAAATTTCACCCACACCCCTGTGGAAAACCAATGCTAGCTGGAGAACTGCACTGACGACGTGTCCATTTCTCAGGTTCTGAGCCCTGCAGGACCTATCTTCATGTGCTCTTGTTCCTGGGGTCAGCTCCTCCCTTTCTACTGCCTTCAGTGTGCTGATGCATTCTTTCACAATACAGCCAGCTTCTCTTACAACTGCTTGAGTTATATTTGGGTTCCTATTGAATCCCAGCAGGCTTTAATTATACGTGTAGTTTTTCCTGGCTTGGGGGTTCTCTGTTCTAAGAGTCAGTACTGTAGAAAGAGGCACACCCGGGAAGGGTCCCTCGGCTCACCCCATCTTCTGCTCCTTTCCCATCCCCCATTCTTTACACTTCCCATATACCACTGCGAGCTGCCAATCTCACTAGTTCATAGAATCTATCCTTAAATGATTTTGTCCTTTTAAATTTATTTTCCCTATAATTATCAGTAACTCATAAATTTCCCCAAGGTCTGACTCTGTCTTGACAACCTCATCTTTAGGAATATTTATACAGACACATCTATTCAATTCGTTTTAATTAACCCCCTTTGTGCTGCTGGGAATTCGACTTCACAGAATGTCTGATCCGACTGGATCTTTTTGAATGCTCTTTGCGAGAGGTTTCTTTATGGTCTGCTTAGCGGAGGAGCCAAGCGCTGGTCCCTGACTCTGATCGTCGCTTCCCATTTGCAAGACAGAGATGGTTACCAGCCCTGGCATCTCAACCCTGGAGCTGTCTCCTTGGGGACCTGAGAGTTTGGCCCTGACTGGCTGGTGCAGCGGCAGCAGCAGCTGAAGGCGACAGAGAGCATAGTCTGTCCAGGAGATGAGCAGCCTGTGGCAGATGACAGCCCTGGCTTTGAGCTCTCTGGGACCCGGGATTTGCCAAACACTTGCAGAACATGTCACCTGTCCAGACCTCAGGTGTCCTTATTCCTGTAAAACGGGAACATTAACACTTATCTCACAGGGCTGTTTGGAGGACACAGCATGGAAGAGACCCCGTGGAGGGGGGTGTCCCTCCTCACTTCATCCTTACTCTAATACAGTCATGTGCCAATTTGTTAATGTTTTGGGTAACTGTGGCTTGATGGGCAGTTGTGAAAAGTAATACAGAACATCCCATGATCGCTTTACCTAGTTACTCTCACTGGGAACTTCTTGCAACATTGTACTTCTGTACATTGAGATTGATAAAATCCACTGATTCACTGATCTTATTAGATGTCATATAGTTTGTTTGTTTTGGTACCAAGGATTGAACTCAGGGGCACTCAACCACAGAGCCACATCCCCAGCCCTATTTTGTATTTTATTTAGAGACAGGGTCTCACTGAGTTGCTTAGTGCCTCACTGTTGCTGAGGCTGGCTTTGAACTTGAGATCCTCCTGCCTCAGCCTCCCAAGCTGCTGGGATTACAGGGGTGCACCACCACAMCTGGCTAGATGTCACAGTTTTATATGCAGTAACCTGAGTGTGTGTAATAGTTTTATGAAATTTATCACATCTGTGGTCTTCATGCACCCACTGGTCAAGACATGTACACTCCACCCCACAGGAAATTGAGCTGCTCTTTTTTGTCTATTTCTCTTCCCTCCCATCTCCCAAGGCCCATCCCTAACCCCAGCGACCACAAGTCTGTTCTTGAATTATATAATTTTATTGTTTCAAGAATGTATGCTAAGTGGAATCATATCACATATCACCTTTTAGGATGAGCATTTTTGATTCATCATCGTTCCCTAGAGATTCATCCACGTTGCTGCATGAATAGCTCATTTCCTTTTATTGCAGAGGAATAGTCTAGAGTATGGATATATTCATCCCTTGAAGGACATTTGGGTGGTTTCTGGGTTTTTGCTATTATGAAAGAAACTGTAACAAACATTAAAAACAAACTGTAAAAAAAACATACTGGTTTTTGTGTGAATCYAAGTTTTCATTTCTCTAGGATGAGTAACTGGGATGCGATTGCTGGATCATGGTGGTTTCAGGTCTAGTCTTATAAGAAGCTACCCAACTTCTTCCCAGAGTAGTTGAGCCTTTTTACATTCTTTCTGTCACTTACCAGTGATCCAGTTTCTGAGCATCTTTTCCAGCATTTGGTATTGTTGCAATGTTTTTATTTTAGCTACTTTGGTAGGTGTGTAGTAATGTGTTACTGTGGCTTTTAAGCTTTTAATAGTGTTAAATATCTTTCATGTGCTTATTTATTATCTATATATCCTCTTCCATGAAATGTCATGTCTTATGCCCATTTCCTTGTTGGACTGATTGTGTTTTTATTATTGAGTTTTGGGAAAGTTCTTTATGTATTCTAGATTCTAATCTCTTCTTGGATGTGTGGTCAGCAACAATCCTTTTTTAAAATTTTATTAAATTTTTATTTGTTTTAATTAGTTAAACATGACAATAGGATGCATTTATGCACTTTGATATATCATACATAGAYGGGACATAATTTCTCATTTTTCTGAGTGTACATGTTGCAGAATCACATTGGTCATGTAGTCCCATATATGCATACAGTAATAATGTCTGTTTCATTTCTATCCCCACATCCCCTCCCCTCTCCCCCCATCACTTCCCTCTACCTAGTCTAATGTAACATTATTCTTCCCTAGTGCCCCTCCCCGCCTTACTGTGAATTAGCATCTGCATATTAGAGAAAGCATCCGACCTTTGGTTTTGTGGGATTGGCTTATTTCGCTTACATGATATTATCCAATTCCAACCATTTACTGGCAAATGCCATAATTTCATTCTTCTTTAAAGCTGAGTTGTATTCCATTGAGTATATATACCACATTTTCTTTATCCATTCGTCTATTGAGGGACACCTAGGTTGGTTCCATAGTCTAGCTATTGTGAATTGAGCTGCTCTAAACATTGATGTGGCTGTGTCCCTGTAGTATGCTGATTTTAAGTCGTTTGGGTATAAACCAAGAAGTGGGATAGCTGGGTCAAATGGTGGTTCCATTCCCAATTTTCTGAGGAATCTCCATACTGCTTTCCATATTGGTTGCCCCAATTTGCAGTCCCACCAGCAATGTATGAGTGTACTTTTTTCACACATCCTCACCAACTGTTTTTAAGGAATAATGTCAGTGAAGCCCAAAGGGAGGGGCCTTTTGAGGTATCTGAGGACCTCTCTGTGAAGCACACACACCTGTCCAGTGCTGTTCCAACCCCACCCTGGTGCAGCCGGGTCTGGAGCTAGAACACCATAGCAACTGCCGCCCCACAGACCCTTTCAAAGTCAGCCTCAGTTAAGCCACATCTCAAGGTAGAAATGCAAAGACAGAGAAAATACCGGTTTGTTATAARGTCCAAAAAGCACCTCTGTTTGAAAGAATTTGGAATGTAACACTGTAACCTCAAATCCTTGAAGCTTCCCATGATAGGCAAAAACTTATCTTGGTTCAAAACAATTGCTGGAGTAATTCAGCATTCTTAAGCCTATCTTCTCCAGAAAAATCTTTTAAATTAGAAATGGGAAAATGAATAGTTTTTTTTTTTCAGGTCAAGCTGGAGCACTGTCCATGAATATATATTAAAATCACTCTATTTGATTAATAAGCGTCTGTGTGAGCCCAAGATTAAAGCAACATGCTGAGCTTATATAATATTTACTCACGCTCTCCTGGTATCTCCTGAAGCCCAGCAGACCCAGAACTGGGGCTGTCGCTGCCTAAAATGGAATTATTATAGCTTAATTTCCCCCCTTATCTCAGATTGTACTGCACCACCTTATCATGATGCATTTAATTCTCTCCATATGCACTGTGTAATAGAGAATTAAAATTAAAATCACAAGGGGAGYGGAAGTGCTGTGAATCATGCCGGACACCCATCAGACATTTTTATTTAACACAGAAAATTGCTGGTGTGAATGTTATTACAATAAATATGCTTTAATTTAAAATGCAAGTCACTGAGAGGAAAAAAAAACTGGGAGCCATAAAATATGTTTCCCCTCCTCAAGGTTGTCCAAAGGGGAGGGAAAAAAAAGGGCAAGTCTCTGGACTGGGTTGTTATCTTTACGATGCAATTTAATCTGGATGCCACAAGCATGTGGGGCAGGATTGTTAGGAAATAACATCATAAAGTATCAAGGAAGGGATAAAAGAAAACAGGAGAAACTGTTTTGTGGTTTTTCTCCCTTCTATGCATAGATATGAGAATATTCTGTTATTAACCCGCCTGGTCATGGCTTTAAATCAGCCCTGGGTTTGGGCTTACTCAGGACACAAGAGAAGAGACCTAGCACACACTGGATCTGTCACATGGGCTGGACACTTTATGTACATCATCTCTTTTAAGCCTTAAAATAAACAACCCTGTAAGGTTAGAAGAGGTTATTCCTGTGCTGGAGGGGCAGAGTCAACCGCTCAAGGTCATGCAGCTGGTAAGTTGGTTTGGCATCAAGGTCGACTGCAATGCCCATGGGTTCTTTCTGTCACCCTGTGGTCATAGGGAGGGGAGCAGTGTCCCCTCTGAAGTTCACCACCATTCTGCATTATTTTCTTTTGATATGCAAGGGAGAACAGAAATAGGACCCAGGAGCAACCAAGTCAGAGCTGAGCGCGGCTGGGCAGCCAGCCAGGTCTGGGTGAGGTCTGGGTGAGGCAGGCTGTGTGTCATAGCCATGGCCTCCTAGGTCAGGACAGAGATCTGACTGACTGCAGATGTGTGCCCAGGTCTGCTCCATAAGACTGAGAATTGGGGCTTTTCCTTCTGGAGGGATCTGTTGCACCAATCATTGAAAAGTTTGGAGAATAAATTCTGGAGACCTTAGTTTGGAACTCTGAATTTGACCCAGAGCAAAATCCAGGAAAARAATCTGAAACTGACTGTCTCTAAGCACTTAGGAAAAGTGATGACTGCTCAGAGCAAGAATGGGTCACTTCCTTCCTTGGTAGTTTCCAGATGAGCAGGGCAGTAACAGCCGTGGTTGCAAAGCCTCATCCAGGTATTTGCCAAGGTCTCCCAAGATGACCTTGGCAAAGGGGTGGGAATGCATACAAGGTCACGTTGCAGGCAGGTGGAGTTGTCCACTGCTGCATGACTGTCCCCCCAAAGGTGACTCTCCCCTCTGGTGGAGAGTGCTGGAACACTCAGGATCAGCAGGTGCAAGCACTGGGTCAGGGTCAAGGCTATCTAGATCCAGGTTGCTGTGAGATCCCAGCAGCTGCTTTTCCAGAGGCTGAGGATCCCGTGCCAAGGCTCCTCCCATGGTCTAGGCTCTACCTAGTGGGCACCTGATGGCTCACTTGGTTAAAGACTTTCAGTGTGTCCCCTTCACCTGAAGTCCCCTCTCCTTGTCTGGCATTGCAGACTCCAAGGTCAAGTTCTGGCCCCTTTTCTACTTCCTGTTGGTCCCCCTGAACTCTTAGCTGACCCAGCTCTGTGGTGGGACTTGCACCTTCAGGAGGACCATGAAGCCTGCTGTGCAGCAGGGAGCAGTGGCCTTGGACCAGACCTGAGTTCAGGTCCCAGAGCCCCCAGGTTAGCTGCTAAGTGACAATTCCCTATGCCTCCACGGCCCTGCGTGTCAGGGTGGGAACGGTACTCCTGACAGCTGAGCTGCGCTTGCACACAGCCTCCTTCACTCACTCCAGCCCACGTCACGTTCTCCTGTGCATGGCCGTTGTCCCTGGGCCTCAGGTGTTCCTGCCCCGTCCAACGTGCCACCTGGTTCCATTTGAATCCGACCCTCTTGAGGAATAGAGGTGCCTCCTCTTTGTAAGAGGCATCTGTACTCAGGCCTGCACACAGGGCAGGGTCCTCATCTCTGCTCCTTGGTTTTCAGAAGGCTCTGCCCTCCTCCTCCCTGCATCTTCTCCTTCTTTACGAGGGCATCATCTACCAACCTTACAAATATGGCCACACTCTGGCTTTGAAATCTGGCACGTGATGTTCCTCTTCACCCCTCACCTGGCCACTGCCTGGGGTGATTTCCAAGCCTATATGGACCACCCACTGAAGGCCTCAGTTCCTGCCTTCTGGCCTCTCACAGTTCCTCCGCTGAATCTTGAAGTTCCTTCCTGCATTGGACCTTGCAAGTCCTAGGACTGCCCCAGAGTCTCGAATCTGTCCCCAGGCCCTGAACACACTCTGGCTCCTCCCAGTCACATATTCTGCCACTTTGGATAAAACCATGTATCCACCCCCCTGAGGGCTCCCACCCATGCATGACCCTCCCAGCCCATCTGCTCCCTCCTGCGCTTTATTTCTGGTCCACCTGAGATCCCGAGGTGAGTCCTTTCAAGGATCCTCAAAGCGGTCCCTAAAGCCAGGTCCCTCCTCACCTCCACCACTCTCAGGTAGCACACTGCCCCCCCCCCCCGAGGTTGGACGCAGATTTCCGGTTTCTCTGAGGCTTCCCTGGAGAAGCCAAGAGCTGCTGGGAAAAGCCACCCCGGGGCTCGCAGCTCTGACCTCAGATGGACCAGCCACATCAACTGGTAGTGCCTGTACATAGGGCCACCCACAATATAACCAATATCTTCCCCCCTCAAGTCCCTGAGCTTCCCAGCAGCCCTCACAGTCAGCTGAGAATGGTGACGCTCACCTTGGAGGACCAGAGAAGCCTCTCCCTGCTGCCAAATACCCCTTCCTAACACCCACCACTGTCCTGCCCACCTCCCCTCCAGGAGCAAGGGGCAGGAGCCCAGGCTGGTCCACCCACCCGAGCTGGGGGTCCCTTCCTCTCACCACGGAGGCTGCAGACCTAGCAAGTGCAACCTGAATCTGCTGGGGAAGGTGCATGTTCTGTGGTCCACACACTGTAATTTTTTTGAAAATCTTTTAACGAGCCCATATTTAATATTTTAGGATTTTTTCTTTTGACCTTTTTMTTTTGATAAAACTTCAGGAGAAGTTGCAAGAATAGTAAAAATAATTTTCATATGATTATTTCACTGGGATTCCCTGAATGGAAATATTTCACCATGAAGGCTTTATCCTTCTCCCTCTCTCTGCTCCCCTAATTCCACACACTTTTCTGACCCAGCTGAGTACATTGCAGGTGCGATTCCTAAATACTTAAAATGTTTCTTTGACATAACTTTAATAAAATAATCAAAATCAGGAGATTAACACCGACACAACACTATTATCTGACCTAACAGATCTAATTTATATTTTTGTCAATTCTCCCAATATTCCCCATTATAGCAATCAATCATCAATCAATCAACCAATCAATGCATGGGCTGCACTTAGCTGTCACACCGCGTAGCTCTTCTTTCCTGTGGAATAGCTATTTTGTGTATCGTGGCAGTGACATTTGTATAGGCCAATCATTCTGTAGAATGTCCCTGTCTTTAGAGTCAGAGTATGCCCCTCTGGGGATGGCACAGATGGGACAGTGAGCCCTTCCCAGTGGGTCACATCAGGGCGTGTGTGTTGTCCCTCTGTCCTGGACTGTTAGCTTTGACCATTTGGTTAGGATGGTGTGGGCCACGTTTCTCCAGTGTGAGGTCAGTAAATCATGACTCCCCTTGGAATCAGTACGTCTAATTCTAGGAGTTATTTCGCAGCCATGTACATATCTTGTCATCCCATGTCACCTAGCTTTAGGACCCACTAGTGATTCTGGTGTAAGTCAGATGGTTTCCAAGTGGTGATTTTCCAGCCCTCGTCCCTTTAGCACTGGAGTTCTACCTGAGGAGTGCTCTCCTTTTCTCCCCATTTGTTTGTTCACTTGATTGTTAAAATCGGCTAGACTCTTACTGAATCTTAGTTCAGTGAGTCCTGCGTATTTACTTCATTATTTATTTTCATGCTCAAACTGTCCTGGCTGTGGCTGGGTGAGACCTGCAGCTGGCCTCTGTGTCCTCTGACAGGTGACCATGCTTCAAGGGCTTCCCCAGTTTCTAGGACCACGAGATACTCCAAGTCTGTCTTCTAGCTCTCTCCCCATATCCAGCATCAACTAGTTTTCTAAGGAGCCCTTTTATGTGATAGTATTTTGAAATCCAAATTAGGATGCCAATTTATATAACTGCTACTGGGGTATAATTATCTCTCAGGAGACCAGGCTAAGATATAAATGTATGTATGTCTGTATACACACCCAGCCCATTATCTATCTATCTATCCATCTATCTATCTATCCATCTATCTAGTCTGTCACTACCATCCACCCATCCACCCAGCCAGCTGCCTTTTCTATCCCACCTCTCCATGACTTCACACTGATACTACAGTTCCAGTCCCACACAGCAGGGCATGTCTCTGTCCACATTTGTATTTCCCTTCTCCAACAACGAGAAACCCGATTTCCAAGATCCACAAGATATTTATTCACTGCTCAATTCTAGGATACACAGAAAATGATTTCAGAATTGCTAACCTCTCTGTCTGGGAAAAGAAACCTACTTCTTACATTGAAATTATGTAATAAGTTTAATAATGTTTACCATAGAATATTTTGCTTTCCACGTTTGGCCATTGCAAGCGATGCGGCCATCAACAACTTTCCAAACATGGAAATCCGTGTTTCCGGTTTCTCTTGGGAGGTCAGGGGTGCCTTTTCCTGGCCTTGAAGGGGGCATGCCTGCTCCCCCTGTTCTCTTTGCTGTTGATGATGAACCATCTCTCTTTGTTCTTGCACACTGGACCTCACTTTATCCAGGTCCTGGTCACTCCCTGAAGGACTGTCTCCCAGTTCCTAAGTGGACAGTA